TAATATCACTGTCTCCTTAATCTTTCTTCCAAAGCCACCACCATCATTCCCACCGTTTCTTAAAGAAGTATTAAAGAAGTAAAGTATTATTTCTTGCTGTGGTTCATTAGCGATGCAAAAGGAAGCAGTGCTTTTTCAAGATCACTGGGGCTGAGGAACAGTCAATATTATAACACTTCCAGGTTCGGTATGCTAAACTACTCTCTGGGATAATTAGCCATAGCCAATTGTTGTATTAGAAAAAAATGTGCATTTTTACCCTGATGGTAATGGCATAGTTTGTTGAATGTATCCATTTTATTGTCATTTTTTTTATTCATTTATTCACTTCCAACACTTTGTGACTCAGTAGGCATCATTTCAATAATATTGCCCAGCAATAACAGCTTCATTAACTTTTACAATACAGTAAAAATTAATTTAAGTCATTAATTTTTACAAAATCAGATTTTTAGGAAAAAGCTTGTGTTCCAAAATCCAAAGCAAGCATGAGAGAAGAAAGCTAATATCATTCAGCATAATAAACATTCGTGCAAATATGCACACAGTGGAAGAAATGCTTACTCAGAAACAAATACTTCTAAGCTCTTACTTCTTACTAATTCTGTCTAGGATTGCAGGCTCTGGTGTTTTATTTATGCAATCCATGGCCAGTGGAGCTGAATATGTGTGAAAGGAGGCACAGCAGGGAGAAGTATGCATCAGAGAGGGTATAAATGATATGTCAACTATATGGAACCACCCTGCAAGATGAAGAGCAGGAATGCCAGTTGAAGTTTCAGCAGGTCTTAAGATCTTCCCATGTCAAAGATGATGCCAGTGTTAGCCACTGCCTTCCAAGACCTTAAACCATGAAATTTCTCATGAAGCTCTGAATCCTTTACCATTTCAAGCAAGGAAGTTCATTTATCCCTAGGTGAACTGGAATGTTTGCTTGTAAATTGTTACCTTTAAGAGCTGGAACACTCATCCCTAAATAAGAGGAGCGTAAACCTGCTGTTTCAACAGACATGTGCCTTGTTTTACCCCTCACTATTTCTGTTCTGATTTTTATGGTCCTGCATATATGAAATGAGTGAACCAGGATCACAAAAAAGCGATTAGCTAGGTTAAAAAAAAATGAGATGATTAGAGATAATGATTAATGATGCATATTCCCTTAAATGTCTTGAAGCAATGAACAAGCTATAGGGCTCCTTATCTGGCCCTTCCTTTTCAGAAGGTATAAATCTCAAAAGAGATTTCCTTTCTCTTAGTTTCTTACTAGGTTCCTCTAAAATACCATTTCTTTGAGCACTAACAGCATTGAAGTACAATTGAAATCAATAAAATTATTACTGTTCAGGCAGAAGTATAATTTCAGAGCAAAGAGGTTTAAAATAAAAGGCATACATAATTTAAAAGCTCTGGATGAATAAATAGGTCTTTATCTTGTGCTGAAAAGGATAATGTGAGTGCCTATCTAATGACTTTGGGCAATTAAAAGAGGGAAAACAAGTTGCATGGGTGGGGAAATCACAACCAACCATAAGACTACACTTTACCAATTAAAATAAAACACAGGCTAGAGGACATCCACCCTGTCTCAAGGCATAAGAAAACAACCAAATGTTTAATGATTTTCTGAATGTCATTAGGGTGGGAGATACAGGAATCTCAGGGAGGAGTATCAGGGAGCAGGACCCTTCACAGAGAAGGTCCTCATTCTGGGTTCCACAAGTTTACACTGTTCAATCAATGGGATCCAGAACATAAACACTACCTGATCTTAACTGGAAATGCATTAAAACTGGACACATATAAATGTGGTTGCAAGGAAGAATTTCTGGGAAGATTGTTGTAAACAATGCCCTGGCTAAAAAGGTCCTGTCCCAGTCATTATTTGCCCCACTTCATTGAAGGGGACACTGGGGGGAAAGTTTCTATAGAGGTTTCTAAGGTTCAAATACAGTCAGAGACAGAGATAAGAATAACCTGGTCCCCAGCTATTTTAAATCTTAAAATAACAGCTTTACACCAATCTCAGCAATAAATTGGGGTCAATGTAGCTGACAATCCATTGTGCAATGGGATCAAAATATCTAGACGTATGAAGTATGCTGTTTTTATTTCATTTTATTTTGCAATACACTTAACCACTTATGTGGTTACACTTAACTGTATATCCTACGATTTTAAAAGCTGCTGGTTTAAAATGTGGGAATCTTCTGTTCAAAGGGAGGGAGGATATTCACTCAGACTGATAGAAGCCAGTTGTTTGACCCTCAGTTGCTCCTGAGAGTGGGAACAAGTTCAAATCAGCAGCTGTTTGGAAGAGTATTGCACAGAAGCATTAATCTGAGTTAGCAAAAAGTGTGCACACCCCACTTTTTAGCACCTTCTTACACAACATTCTTGCTCTTACAGAAAAATCCAGAGCTAATGAGAAAACTCACAAACTCTTAGAACTGTCATTTAAATCATAACCAGTCATCTTCCGAGAGATGGAATTATTTGAATTACTGTTATAAATACAGGAATAAATACATGAACAGGCAAGTAAGGGAAGTGGAAGTGGAAAGAAAAGAAAGGGAAAGAAAAGAAAGGAAAAGAAAAGATATACCTTGATATTTAAATCTTTATCACATTATTATTTCTAGATAATTCACTTAGTATTATGAATGAGCCTTTCTTCATCTATATATATATAAATGTGTTTGTGTGTGTGTCCACACGCGCATGTGTTCCAGCATAACTCTGGAACGCCTCGAGCAATTTCAACTACACTTGGTACACAGATGACTTACTCTCTGGAAAAAAATACTGTAGGGGTAAGACACCCCTAACAACCCTCGGGGTGTGTGTTCTGTTAAGATACAGCCTGTTGTGTCTTAAAATGGCTTCTACTGTATTGCCATAAAATGGATTCTACTGTACAGCATAGTGGAGTTGCCATGGTAACGGCTTCACAGTACTCCACAAGGGGACTCCCTCTGGTGAGGAAAATCCAACATTAGAAATTATGTTTCATCCAGACATTTTCCCCCTACAAATAAATACCCAGGCAACGCCGGGTTATCAACTAGTATAATATAAAAACAGTTTTATCTATTAGACAGGCCCACCAAAACTATTATCTAGTCTATTTCTAGAAACTAGTCTCCCTACAGACCTATCCATTTGCATCAGCCACCAAGCTCAGAATCCCACAGATCTCTTTTTATCAGTGTGAATAGGTGAGTTCCTCCCTCTAAAGGCATCCATAGCATCCATGGGAGAATCTCAAATTTTTGGCTGGGGGTGGAGGAGTTGGGAGTCTCATGGTAAAAGCAAAACTATTTCCAAGTATTTTATGTCTGCTCAGAGTGAAAAATGACTTGATGGCACATAATATTAGAGAACCAGATATGAGTTTTGATAAAAATTGTCCAAGTGGTTAAATGAATGTTACCTGGGGGGACAGGAGGAAATATCCTGTCAGTTGTCAGAAATGGATAGGTAGGAACAGAACAAGAATATTCAGGAAAAATTGACTGGGATATTTGGAGACCTAGGAATGAATGAGAATGGAGACTGATGAGTAATCTGCTTAGAAAAAAATTTTTGTAAAATATTTGTTCAAATGCATGCGTTAAGCATAAGTGTGTGATGTGAGGTTCCCACATATTGAACCAACTATTGTAAGATCTTCACAAGTAGATCTTCAGAACAATTCATAGGAAAGAAAATCAAAGAAGTGAAAGAAATTAAAATGAAAATAGAATGACTGCAAGAAGAGTATGAGTCCTGTATGAAAAAATATTAGAAGACAGACTTATCTCTCAACTGAATGAATAGAAAGCAGACAAGGGGAAATGATGTTAAAACAGCTTTCATTTTCACAGAATAAAAAGAATTAATGCTATGAAGTACAGGAATGAAAAGGTGGAATGATAAGGTGAAAGAGCTGAGTATGAGGAAAAACACTAAGAGAATGTGCATGCCAAAAAAAAAAGGCAGACAGATATTGCATAACATATATATAGGAAAAAAGATCATTGCAAAAGAGCAAGCAAGGAACAGTTAACATTAAAAGATTCACCGTCTTCAAATACCTGATGGATTGCCACACAGAAAGAATGGGTTATTCTCTGTTGTTCTAAAGGGCAGGACCAGGAGCAATAGATTAACTTTCAAAGGAAGATATTTCAGGCTACATATCAGGAAGAACTCCCTATCTATGTGCGCTATCCACCAGCTCTACCACATAAAATAAGGTTCCCATCACTACAGATCTTCAAAAGTGTCTAGATGTCATCCGTAGTGGATCTTTCCTGAGTAGAGGGTTAGACACGATGACCTCTAAAACTCCTTCCAATTCTATGATTCTAATGCAACAGAGTATGAATCTATAATGTAGTATACCAAAGATCAGGGAACTGTATTTCATAGAGAACAGAGTGAACAATTGCAAATTACATATTTAAATTGTACAATTTTGTAGAATATTTATTAAAATAGAAAAAAATGAAAAAGCCTTGACATTGTATGTATGTTTGTATGTGGTTGAAATAAGTGAAAACTCCTGCACCAGAGTGCTTGTGCCCATTTTGTTCTATGGAAACAAAATGCTGAATGTGGCAGGGGAAACAAAAATTAAATTATGTGGGAATGGAGGATTTAAAACAGTATGTGATAAAATCAGAAGAGAGGAGGTCAAGACTGAATGATTTTGGAATGAATGTGAACTGAACGCAAAAGTGTTCTGTAGAAAAGAGAGAATAATAAAGTTCAAAACAAATAAATGAAAGAAGAATGGGTTGAGAAGATACAGAGGGATGAGAAACTCTATGTTGGATGGGGACAATAATGTTCAAAAGAGGGAGGTGAAGGAATTTAAAGAACAGAATATGATGTGTGTGAAGTGATATATAAATGTGGAGGAAGAAAGGATGGTTTGTAAAGCCCAAATGTAATGTAGAAAGCTATAGCAAATGGTGTTGGTATAAACCTGGTTTAGCTACATACATACCCATTTCTTCTTTTTACCATGTTTCATGTCTTGAATTTCTAAAGTTTTCTATTTTTTGTTTTCTCTTCTAGACTTTGCATAAGCTTGCTTACCTGAAAAATAGATAGCAGGGTAGTTATGGATGGATGGATATGTATACTTGTATGCATGATTTTCTTTTACATATACAACTACAAAAAGAGCTAAAGTTAAAAAAAAAGGAACAGATCATCTTAAATTTTACTAGTTAACTAATTCCAACATTTGCATGACATTTTCTTGAACAATTTAAATTTAAGGCTATTCTTGGTAGCACTTTTTAGGGTTGAGTTTGAAGTATAAACAATAATTGTTGCAATTGATTAATTTGGCTGACCTTGAAGACATGTAACAAAATAGTCATGAGAACGTCAGGTCACAAGAGCGGAGGCATCTCATTTTTAAATAGTGCCATTTTTCTAGTATTATATCTTATTACCTTTTTGGATTAAATGTAATCCTGATATTTGACAACCAGCTTCCAGAGTTAATATTCAGGACATTGTGGGAGGAGAGCCACTTTAATCCACTGTAATCAGTGGATTTCTGTAATCAGAAATCAAAGAGAATCTGGACAGGATATAAATTTGTCAGTCAAAAAGAGGCAATGCAGGTTCCATTGCAAAACAACAAAATAATACAGGTAGTCCTCAACTTACAACAGTTCATTTAATGACTGTTCAAAGTTACTGTTTTTCACATTTACAACTTTTGCAGCATCCCCGTGGTCACATGATCAAAATTCAGATGTTTGGCAACTGGTTCATATTTATGACGGTTGCAATGTCCTGGGGCCATGTAAATCACCTTTTGTGACTTTATGACAAGGAAAGTCAATGGGGAAGCCAGATTCACTTAAGAACCAGGTTACTAACCTAACAATTTCAATGATTCACTTTACTGTGGCAAGAAAGGTTGTAAAAATGGGCAAAACTCACTTAACAAATGTTTCACTTAGCAATGTAAACTTTGGGCTCAATTGTGGTCGTAACTTGAGGACAACCTGTAATAATAAACCATTTCCTATGCTCTTTACCTCAAAGAACCTCAGCATTTTGTTCTCTTAGTCATTGTGCATTGTAAAGCAATGACCCACAATTCTCTCTTGTTACATGACAGATATCCACAGTATTCCTGCTCAGAAGGAGTCTTTCATACCACCAGACTTATACTAGAAAATCTAGGAAACTCCTACCTAGGAAAAGCAACCCCTTCCACACTGCCTTCAAGAGGCACTGTATGGGCACGCCCATGGAGTCACAACCTGAGCACTCTTTTGTATACTAATTTTGCCAACTGCTTGATCAACTTTTAAGAATAAATATACCGTCCATAAAAAGGGGAGGGGGTAAAAGTATCCTCAAGTTGAGCTGGCTAAACTCCTGGTGACTTCATGAACACGTGTAAAAAAATTTAAAAGCTTGCATTGGCCTTGGAATTTCTTACTTGGTCTCCTGTCCAAGGATTAATCAGCCTCCAGACCTAGGCAGGTCAGTCAGATGCTGCCATCTGTTGAAGTTCCTTAAAGTAAAGAAATTAGGAAACTGTTTCTCCTTTTTTCTTGTGATGTATTTTTTGCTCAGTCTCATCTCTCTCCTACAAATCATGATTACTACTCCAGGCTTACAGATGAGACCCTAAAGGTGAAGGATAGTGGCGCACCAGAATTCATCCCTCAGGGAACCCCATTGAAGTGAGACAGAATTCAACTTTTCAGATTCAGATCCAGGCTGCCCCTTAAAAGGATCTGTTTCAAAAGAACCAGATCCACCCCACAGCATTTCTCTGTTCTTGAAAGTCCCATTGGTGACCAGAGAAGCTTTTGACCAGCTGGGTTGCTCCCTGGGAATTCTTGAATAGGGAAAGAACAAGCTAATGTGAGTCCTGCTTGGGCAAACTGCATCCCACTGCTTCAATTAGCTGCAGCATGATACTTTTAGTAAGACCTGGTGTGGGTGTGGGTGTGGGTTTGTCCTTGCCTTGCCGATCAGTATTTTTCAATCATCGTTGAGGTTTGCAGAAGAGCAAAGGGGTCCATGGACACCAGTCTCAAGAGCTGGAGCATTATAACAGTTTCTCCCATTGGCACCCCTGACCTGTTACATGCATACCCAGCCACACACGCTCTGGAGTGGGGAGAGGAAATACTCCCTCCGAAGCTCCAGCGGTCCTTGTCAATGCCTAATTGCCGGGGCCCCAGAGAGCCAAATAAGCCACCGGTGAAGAAGTCGACGCTATACGGCTCCTAGCTCGGACGCGTGACTTAATACTATCCAGCCGGGCGGGAGGGGGTGAGGGAGACGAGCGGAGGGGAAAGCAGGAATGCCCTTGCGGGGAGCTGCGAAGGGGGGAAGGGAGGGGGGCAGAGCGAGCCTCGCGTTGGTTCCCAGGAGGCTGAGCCTGCAGGATCCCCGGTATCATGAGCCGGCCCACTCCGTCAGGCAGCACGGAGAGAGACGGGCAGGCGCGTCAGGGTTGCAGGGGAGTGATTGGAGCGGTACCGTCAGGCTGCGGGAAGAGCGGGAGGCGGGCTTTGGGCGCCGCCGGACTGAAGAGAGCAGCCCCTTCCCTCTACCGGCCGCGGGCTTGCGGACCGCTCTGGGTGAGTGGGCGAGCGGGTCAAGCGGGAGCCCCGCGCGGGAAGGGCAGGGGCGGGGCGGCAGGAGACGGACGGAGGGTTGTCTCCAGCCGCGGAGTGTCCAAGGCCAAGAGTCGCCTCGGGAAGCTCGCCCTGGCCGGGGTGGCGGCGTTTGGTTGGGGAAAGCGGGGGGAGCTTGGCTGTTCATGCCGCAGCTGCGAGCCTGAGAAGGGCGAGAGGTTTCGGGGCTGCCCCCGCCAGCGCTCCTCGCCTCGGCTAAACCCTGAGCGGGAACTTGCAGTGCGCGGGCCGAGTTCTCGGAGCGCTCCGGACAGGGTCCCCGCTTGCCGCTGCCTGGAGGCTGGTCTGGGAATCGCCCCGCCACAAGCTGGGAGTTCCCGGGAAGGAGCTATCCAAGTTGTGGACTGACCTCCCGGCTTCGTTGGCAGAAGCGAGGCTGGTAGCCCAGCAGGAAGGCTGCGATCTTTGCCCGTTACCCGTAGCGGATCGGAGCTGCGAGCTGCCTGCTCTGCATGTTAATAAGTCGGCAGTGCGGATGGTGGTTGGATAATGCAGGATGCGGAGACGGAAGGTGGAGGGCAACTGCACGGTCTTCGCCGAGAGTCAGGAGTGGGAGGAATGAACCGGAGAGTGAAAACTGAAGGGGGGAAGAGAAAGGGGATATATGGTGTGCAGGGCAGTTAACTTACCTACAACCTGTCACAGGTAGGCTTTCCAACGAATGAGAAGGCACCTAGTTGGGAGAGGTGGATGGATACCCCCTCCCCAGTATTAGAAAATGCTGCAAGTCCCCAGAAAGGTTGATACACATGCTCCACCTGCAGCCTGTCTACAGGGCTCAGCTGACTGCTCTGCCAAATTCTCCTTTTGCTCTGTGCACCTGTATTCCCCACAACTCCATCATTCTGGTAGTTTGGAACCGGCCAGTGAAAGGTGAATCATTGAAATAAATGAGCAACCTATTGTGTCTGCTCATTGATAGGAAAGCAAACTCTCCTTGGGATGATCTCTAGACGAGATATGGGACAGGTGGCCAGTGAGCAAGAGGTGGATTTAATAATCCATCTATCTCTCTAAGAACCTCTGAATGGCAAACAAAACACAAATTCATTTTTTAAAAAACAGTTAAAACTGCATCATCAATGCTTGATGTTCGTAATAAACCACTTGACAGATATGTCCATGCCAGAACTCCCCTACTAATATCCTGACCCTAATGGCCTTAGGGTCATGAATGGTCCCATGTCTTCCCAGTCTTGTGGAAGGGCAATAGGACAACCTGGCCATATTCCAGAGGGAAGGCTGCTCAGAGACAGGAAAGAAATGGTGGTGATGTTCAATCCTAGGCCAGCCAAAGGATGCTGCCAAGGCTGTTTGGGTTTGGATGGGGAAGAACCAGCTTTGGCTCAAACCTAACAGGATTGTAGATTTTAGCTTCTGCCACCACCACCACCCCACCCAATCCACTGACTATCCATCGTTTGAACGTGGTTATGTTCCTGTACTCAGTACACAATGTCTCTGAAGTGTATTTGTTGGATGATATTCTCCAAACTGCAATGGACTGAAAGGCCAGCAGAAGTCCATCCTCAGGATCATAGAGACAAGATAGTGGAACAGCCTTATTTACACAAAAGCAAAACCCTAGAAAATGTTCTCCAGGTTTCCTTCACTTGCTCCTCTAGCTCAGGAAATGGGACCAAATCTGGGGTGAGAGATGGAGAGCTTGTGCCCATACCTTTTACTCAATCAGATAGGGAAAAGGAAACTTCCAGCCATGCCCACTCTTATGTTTTACCCCAAGCCACTTGCAGTTGATCTCTCCCAGGTGTTTCTTGTTTTGGAGATCTCTTGTCTCCGGCTCTTTAATTCATCTGCTAGAGAAGTAATAAACATAATTTCTCCACTCTGTCCAGCTTGGTGAGAAATGAGCCCTAAGGTTCCGAGCAGTATCCTTTTCTTTCAGTCAGTGAGGTTCAGCTGATGAGACTGAAGCTATCTTCAGAGTCTGCATCTCTTCTGCTCTTGCTGCATGGTTCCCTTGCTTCCCTTCATAGTGGATTGCCTCCCCCCCCCCTTTTTTTTTACCTCACTGTCTCCTTCCAGCAGTTGGAACAACTGGTGCAATTCTCACCTTCAAACTCCTCTTTGAGATGTTAAGAAAATCAGCAAGTGAAAACCTCACTGGCCACTAGTGACTGGTTCAGAGATTCAAAATTCTTCAGACTTCAGCAGGAAAAAAAACCAGAAAGGCAAATAGGGAATCTCTCCCACTCTATTTTCTATTTTATTTGTGAAATGCATGTACTGTATGTACCCCAATATGTATGAATGTATATACCCCTGTGTGCGTGTGTGAATTTTCATATACGACACTCATAAAGGATCTTAGAGGCTGTCAAATGCAACTTTTCTTTTAAAAAGCAGTGGAGTTATTTGTTTCTTTTTTATGCCAATATCCACTAATACCTTGAACTCGATCTTTGCATGAAATACTCCAAGGAAAATTAATTCTGTAGTTTTTCTAGGCTGGTTTTAGTTCATCTTCTTGCCCATTTTTCTACCTAAAATATTTATTGGAAAAAAATATTTCACAAATATGCATCTCACACAAGTATAACTCTTTGGATAATGAGGAGAGAGTGTGATCATTCTGCCATNTTGTCTCCTTTTTACTTCTAGTTGCTTCAAACATATTTTTGGGGGATGGACACAATTGAAATACACATTGAAGAACGGAATGGCATGCACATTATTATTATCCACGCAATTATTTCGATAATTCTGCTGACTGCCAGCAGTTTGGCAGTTCAATTCTCATCAGCTCAAGGTTGACTCAGCCTTCCATCCTCCCAAAGTCGGTAAAATGAGGACCCAGATTACTGGGGGCAATACGCTGACTCTGTAAACCGCTTAGAGAGGGCTGTAAAGCACTATGAAGTTGTATACGAGTCTAAGTGCTATTACTATTGCTATTTTGTGTTCTTCTGGATTGCGCATTCCATAATAACATTTGTACGGTATACTGAATGAACCAAATACTGAATCATATGGGCAGCATATAACAACAAAGTTGTTTAACCCCATTTTACAGTCCTCTCTGCTCGGTAAGTTCCACTATGATGAGTGGGATTCATATTGCCTTATAATATGGCTCTTTCTATGGTGTAATAAATAAGTACCCGAAGTATCGTGATCAAGCCTTCAAAACTATGCCCCTATCATTTCTATGATTGTAGGGCAACACTCTGTTCATTGTCCTCCTAATTCAAACCTAAGTAAAAATGGCACATAAAGATTCTACCTGAAATGAAAACTGGGGCAGTGGTATGTGAATATACCTCCTCCTTCCTTAAAATCATCTAGCTTTGCTCATGGCCGTTTTTGTAGCAGGGAGCCTGGCTCACATCTAGCCCTCTCAAGATATATCACATATGAACAGTTGTTTTCAGGCTGCTCCAGCTCTTCAAAGATCTGTTCCTAGAATCAGCTGATCCCTGGCAAACTATTGCCAAGGAAAAAAAGAATATGGAAAAAGGACTTGCATTTACTTACTAAGGTCAGTTTATCATGCTAGGTAGTTGAATGTGATCCAGCCACCCAGATCACTCTTGCAATTGGCCTGAGCGGGGGGCGGGGGGGGAGGTCAGGTTAGAATTATAGTCAATAGCAATGAGAACTAGTTTTATATATGTGTGTATTTGTCTGTATGAACTTTCCAGTTTTATATCCGGAATGGTGTTTTAAGCCCTCTTAGGAGCAAAGCCTTCTTTCATAATTCAAACTAACATGAACTTACTTAGGATTGAGTTCCAATAAATTGGGTAGGATTTCATTCTGAATACACATACACTGGAGCATGCATCTCATTCTCCAGAGATGGTACCTAATAAATGCTCCCTTGGCTCCCAGCAAGGCATTTCCTGAAGAAAGTAATCAGTAGAAAAGGTATTTAGGGTGTTTAAATGGAACAGTATAAACCTGTTGTATGTAGTTGAGGCTGCTTCAATTTTCAGACTCGGAGAAGTAGGCAGAGGCTGATGAAAATTGGAATTTACAAATAATCAGGGATTATTTGGTATCAACAGATGGAAAATGCCTAATGAGGAAATACGGCACTCATAAATTATTTATAAAGTCTACGTATGATTTTCAGGCTTTCAAGCGTTTTCAAGACTGACTCTCCTTCATCACACCCTGAGATCTAATATTCCAGCAACCATATTCCCAGCTAATATTAGATATGGGCCAGTCATAAACTAGAGACATAGGTAGAAGTCAATCTTCAAAACAAGAACATTTGCAATAGTTTTGATTTAAAAAAAAATAATGATTTTGATCAAAAATTATTTCTTGATCAGTGGTCAGCTCAATTTAATATTGATAAATGCATTCTAGAGAGTTAGCTATATTTGCTTGTTGCAGCAAAAATCAATTATTAGTTTTGATTTTCATCTACGGAGCTTAAATAGTAACAAATTATTCATGGCATGAATTTTTGTCAGCAAATGCTAACTTCATTTGAGCCATGGTAACTCCTACATGGTGCTTGTGAAGTGTCAGCATAATCCACAGAGTGCAATTTTGTAATGGATAAGCTGCCTCTGTTCTTAATGGACAGTTGTCAAATTTTAAAAGATGGAACATTTTAAATTCAAGTTTAGCTGAACAGCACTTAGAGGCAATTTTAATGCATTTTTATTACACAACTCAGACAGGTGGGTGTGCATTGCTTATTTGCTTATTTGCTACATTTATTCTTAAAAATATATTGTGGTAAACGTCTTTCACTCTAAAAAAGATTCAAGAGGCGGAGTTTTAAAGAGTGTGTAGTTTGTTGTAGTTCCATGGTTGAAATTTTATGCTCATTCACAATTTGCAGTTTTGTAGTTCTGTTGTGTTCATTATCTAAANCTACATGTGTGCCCTGTTTGACTTTTATAGATACAAAAACTACAGTCCAACCTTTATGCACCTGTTAGATCTGCAGTCTGTATATTTTTTTCATATAATATCACCTGAATACATTTATAAAGACAAAATGCACCTTCAGCACAACTTAACCATATGTTTCTTTCTCAGTAGTAAATAAAGCATGCTTATATAATTCAGATAGATCTTAAGTTCAGCACATGAGTAAGCAAGGAAAGCAGGAGTCAGCCCCCTTTTAGGAGGTGGGAAGCAGAGCCTAAATCAGGTGGGTCAAAAAAATATTGTTTTATTTTGTGCATGCATTTAATCAAAATGGTAAAGAGAGAGCATTTCAGTTGCGGGATAGTTTTAATTGAGGGGGGGGGATCTACTAGCTGGTTTGATAATGTAATGTTTCTTGATGCTGCTTTAAAATTGTTAAATCTGTCTTGGAACGTTTTGCTTGTCTTTTTGTGGTTTTTTTTGGGTTGGTCACATGTTTGGTGCAGTGCAGTGCAAAACATGGCTGTGTCAACTAACCTCCAATCTACTTACTTTGTGTCAAAAGTCCAAATCCTGCTGGCTTTTTGACTTTCATTGCTTCTAGCCTCTGCAATGGAAGTTTCTGTAGGAGAGCTAGACAGATGCTGAAGAATGCTGCCACCTGTGGCTCTTTTGAGATTAGAAATTGGTATCCAAATGGAATTTCATTCACTCATTCACTCTCTTGCACACACAATTCACACATTATGCAAAAAGCTGACTAGTATTTCTCACTCTCTCAACCGTTACTAAATTGAGACGGGATTGGAAAGGATAAGCATATGAGGTTTATATGGGAAAAACACGCTGTTGAGTTACCTGGATTTCTGAAGATTGATTTACTTGGAGATATATATATATATATGTATGTATGTATGTATGTATGTATGTATGTATGTATGTATGTATATGTATGTATGTAGGCATGCATGCATGCATACATACATATATACCTACTGTATATGTGCGTATATATATATACACATACATACATACACACACACACACACACACATACATACATACAGTAGGTAGCTCACAATATCTGTGTGAAAGAATTTGGAAATTGGCTACCTGCTCAAGGTGAGCTGGTCATGTGCAGGAGGAAATACTCACAGACATTATCATTTTATATACTGTCAAAGTAAATGACCCTCACTAGAACTACGTGATAGAATGTTCAGTACAGATGCCCACACATAATAGCATTTTAATGGTTCATGAATCTATAGCCAATGTACATAGTATTTCTTCATTGTTTCCTCTTACTACCCATTGCCCCATAGTAATGTAAATTGACCAACTTCAACCTACTCAGCTGAACTTACCTTCTTGTATTCCCTTCCCCCACACCACTCTGCATTATTTAGTCAAGCTGAAGCGTCTTTAACATTAATAGTGTGTGTATAAATATATATCATATGTTGGGGAAAGCTAAAGAGGTTTAAGCCAATGGAAGGTATGCCGACAGGAAAAATGAAAAGGGAGAGTCATATTTATTACCTAATTGAGAGAAAAGGAGGAGGAGGAGGAGGAGGGGGTGTTTGATAGATTAGGTGTGAAAGAAACTGTGGATGTATATGCCTCTTCATGAGTCCATTTTGTGCAAGAAAGCATGAGCATATGGCTGCTGGTAGACACCGTGTGGGTGGGAGAAAGAGAGAACTGCATTGTTGGGAAGGAGAGAGTGTGCAAGTGTAGCCAGTGAGAATAATTATAAAAGCCTCTAGTGGCCTGAGTAACAGTGAAAAATTATGTGTGCTTGTGCAAGAAATGGAGAGAGACCATAAAGAAATATGTCTATTAAACGGGAGGTGGGAATACGTACTATAAAATGCAAATATTTAATGCAAGGACGTGATATAAAAATGAAAGGGATACGTGTAAAACAGTCAAGACCATCCCATTGCTTGCTTTTTCTTCCTTAATGCCTTCTAGATGTCTTAGAGTACAATTCCCATGATGCCCAGTCAGCCAGGCAGCATACCCATGTTACGATAGTCTCGTCCCATTTAAATATCAGACATCCGAATCAAAGGAAATCTCAGTTCTAATTTCCTCAGGCTCCTCAAATCTCAGGAGACGAAAGGGTTAAATTCCCCACCATCTGGAATTATAATTGCTATCCATCCTTGCACATATTAAATCTAATTTCACTCTTTGTGTTTTTTCTAGAAACATCTTTGCAGGAGATCTTAAGATTATGTGTCTTGAAGGCACATTGAGACATGCATGCATAGACAGCGGGGAGGAAGCAAGCTTGCTTGTGTATTTAACAGGGCAGTGCAGATAAAGAACACAACAGCAGAACTAATTTCTGAATGTGTGTGTGTGTGGCAGCCAATGCAGAAGAACTTGGTCCCGAGGCTAGGCAATTGGCATTCCTGGCATATCTTACACAAGGGCTTGTTTGACTGTCATCAACTCACACAGGATTGAAGCTGCTGAAGCTCTATAGGTAATTTGTTGAGGGAAGAGGGCTCATTGGCTTGTTGATTGGGGGGGGAAACCATCTCTTTTGCTGCATGTGTTTAAAATATTGTTTCTACCCAAGTGTCCAAGGATGAATGGACAGGAGCAGTTTATAGGATGTCCCATAAAATCTCAGGGTTTAGTTCTCATACTGTGACGTTCAGTCATTATACCTGAATCCTCACTCTGTCCTATTCACACAATATGTAGTTGCTACCGTACTTCTCATTCTATTTATTGGCACAGTGAAATATCAGCAGAGAAAGTCAGGTCTCTTATTTTTCTTCCATTCAATCACGTCCAATTTTCAGACTTCCTGGACTAGTCCCTGCAGTTTTCTTGGCACGGTTTTTCAGAAGTGGTTTGCCCTTGCCTCCTTCNTCATTATATTAAATTCCTTGCATTGGACCTGGGCTTCTGAAGAAATGGATGACTTATTGGTCGGAGCTTAGTTCAACAGTCAATGATTTTTTCCCCCTTCATCCTGCTCATTTGATTTCATTTCCCTTCCAGGTAGCCCTTGACTCCAAGCTTTCTATCAGCAGCACTGGATGATAATTCAACAACCTCGTAGAGCTCACTAACGTGGCCAGCAGTAATGGATTTTGTGATGAAACAAGCCTTAGGGGGTAAGTCTTACCTCCTCACAATATTATCTTAGTTCTACTATTCCAATCACTTAAGACTGAATTTCCGGTGGAAGCAGACAGCTTCAACTCTGGCATAATGGTGGGCTTCCTTGCATGACAATCTACTTCTGGTCCTCTCTTTTTTTTATGTAGGATTAAGATCAGGACTTTGACTTGGCCATTCCTTTCTTCTGCTTTTACTAATCTTTAGAGGTACAACTTGTGTGTTTTGGGTCATTGCTGCATTACCCACTTTTTTTGAGCTTCAGTTGAAGGCTAGATACCCTGACATTTTCCTGTAAAATTTGCTGGTACAGTTCATAGTCCCATCAATGATAGCCAGCCCTGGTCCAGAAGCAGCAAATTTGGGTCTATAGGCTGAAATCATGATACTGCCACCATCATGTTTCACAGATGGGATGAGACTCTTATTCTGGAATCAGTGGTGGGTTGCAGGCGATACACCCCTGGTGCCTGCCCAGGTACCGTTCCAGTACGGTGCTCCGGAGGGCACGCCTGCCCGAGCTCCTTACATGTATTTGAGTTCTTCAGGGCTTATGCGCATGGAGTGCACGGCACCTGCGCAACGCTCCGCCGAGCAGCTGGAGCATCACGGAGGCTCACAGAGGCGTTGCAAGAAGTAAGGACGCATGCACGTGCTGCACGCTCTCATGTGGTGGACGCCAGGATCCAGAACCCACCACTGGCTGGAATGCAGTGTTTGCTTTCACCGAACAATGTGTTTTTCATTCAGGCCAAAAAAAATCGTATTTTGATCTCGTTTGTCCCCTCCTCAGAACATTTTTCCAATTATATCCTGGCTTATCCACATGGACTTTCAGAAACTGTAGATAGGAAGGAATGATATTTTTCAAGAGCAGTGACATTCTTCAATCTGCCACGCAGCACACCTTTATTGCTCAGTGTTTTCCTGATAGTGGTGTCACGAACTCTGACATTTTGTCAATGCAAAGGAGACCTTTCATTCCCTAGACATTACCCTGGGTGTTGTTGTTTTTTTGAGATGTTATATGCCATGCTCTTGTTGTAATCTTGATTGGTCATCCACTCCTAGGGATATATAACAATGATGATGAATTGCCTGACAGTGGGGACAAACACTTTGGGAATAGTTTTGTAAACTTTTTCAGTCTGATGGGTATCAACAGTTGTTTTTCCAAGTTCTTCAGAAATATTTTTTTCCAGCAGTGACACACTTCTACAACCTATCTTATGAAGCTCAGCGAATATCTGGAATTCTGTTCTTTAAATTAGGCAGGACCACCCATACTCATAGTGCTTATCCAATGTGTAGATCCCTTGCACAGCTAGAACTAAAAGTAACTCATTCCCATTGTTGAAACATACAGTTTATAACAGAGAAGGCCAAAAAAATATTATCCTATTAAGTTCTCAGCTGACATCTACTACAGAATGTGAATGCCCATATATGTGATTGGAGAGAGTTTTAAGGCTTATTAAAAAAAAGAGGACTTGGTCACAAGTTATCCCTCTCTGCTTTTGAGCTTCTGAGAGGTGAAGGGAGATTCCCTTTCATTATATCTTCATCATAAAAAGTGGTTTTGAGAGAAAGGACTGGTGCAATTTTATTGCATGAGCTCTTAAGTCAAATAGAATTTGAATCTGGATTTCTGAGTCCCAGCTCAATTCCTTAACTATGCTGGTCTGATTAGTTCTTGAACTTTACTTATGGCAAATATAGAAGTGTTCTCATTTTATTTTCTTTAAGAAGATAGAACCGTCCTGGCATTTGCCCACAATAACACAATCATGGTTATTATTAAGTACAAAGGTATTGCTTATATAATATTGTATTCAAGCTTAGACAGTGTTGCCGTAATGGGAAAACCAAGGCAAATAGGAGAGAAAGAGAAAAAGGCCCTTCTTATTCTGATGTCTAGTGACATCTGAGCTCCCCCTAGAGATCCGTCAAGGAAATTTGCTAATTGTCTCATACTGACTTCTCACAACCAAAAAGGAGATTATTGGTTCTGAGATTCTGCCTTGAAGAGAGAGACTTATTTATTTGCTTACTCTTATCTGCCTCTATTGTTATAAATAACTGAAGGCAGCATGCAATCTAATACAACAACATGGGAGGAATGTTCAGCTGAGAGAGAGTGACTGGCCCAAAGTCACCCACTTTCAGGCCTAAAACACCCATCTAGGTTTCCATCTAGAAAAGAAAGTGTAAATCACTGGTCCTGGTAGAGATTATAATAATGCCTAGCAGGTTTCAGGTTTTTTTTTATAAGGCTGATGGACACACAGTCATTTTGCCTGACTGAAGAGACTTCATCAGTCAATCCACTCCGTGGCACGACAAAACCGTGCTCGACTAAGCCGCGCCCGATTAAACCACGTCGCTGATGTCATCAACAGGGTGACAACAGTGAACACGGAGAAAGAAGGGCGCTTTAAATAGCGCTTTGAAAGCAAGCC